GATGGCAATCTTCATGAATGAAAATATAGCCTCTCAGAACCTCGGAAGCAGCAACAGCTGCCCTGATATTTTGATATATTTTGAGTTCCAGAGCGGTGGAGGGGTCTCTGGAGGCACCCTGGACGCTCTGGAGGGCGGGTGGATGGGGGTCATGGGAAGGGGTCCACTAGGAGATCTGGCCCCCGAGCAGAACTGACAGAAACAACCCAAACAGTAGCGGCAAATAGCTCCGGCCCCTGTCCCCCTGGCCAGATCTCCTAGTGGACCCCTTCCCATGACCCTCCCATCCACCTCCAGGAACCCTCAGAACACCGCAACTAAACCAGGCTGGAGCCTGGGCCAGCCTAGGCAGGGTCTTCTGAAGGTTATTCGTCACCCAAACTATCCCCTCCGAGTGGTATAATAAACTTGGATTAGCCTGATGGACAACATTTCGGATGCTGCTGAGGCCCTCTGATGCAGACATTGCCCGCTACGTACCAACAAAGCATGATTCGTCTCTGCTGACACCCGAAAAAGAAGGGAATCGGATAGGGTCTCAAGCCTGGGAGTTCCATGCACCCAGAACACTCAGGAGTCATTAAGACGCAAACTGGAGAATCTAGTTTTCCATGTAAAGCATTGATCAGCTCTACAAGGATTTGGGGGGGTATGTGTGGGGGGGGGTGTATGGTGCCCTATGATTGAACTTACAGCAGAGCTTCCACTGTCACACGTTGCATCAGACGCCTACTCATGAGCGATTGCTTCCATAGTGGTTTCTGTCAAGGGCCGTCACACAGGGCATCCCACATCATGGCGTTTTCCGAAAGCACGTCATGAATTCCGCAGCGTGCACCTTGGGGGCCGATGGGGGCCGAATGTGGGACGTCATGGCATGTCATGGCATTCGTAATTATTCGTAGAAGACATTCCGCGTCCATTGGTAGGATGAAGTGGACGGTCTCGTAGCTTGTAGAGTCCCCACGCACAGAGCGGTTTTGCAGCTTGATGGTAGCAAGGCCATAAGGAACTTGGAGAAATCGCTGGCCAAGCTTGTCGTCAGTTTGAGTGAGGTATGCAATCAAGAGAACCGTTGCAAATGCTGTTATACAAGTCGCGCCGGCTTGACAAGAAGAAGAAACAGAAGATGTTGCCGTTTGCATGTACGCAATGGTTTAGTAAATCATGTGCAAGGATGTCCACGCTCACACGCGAAAGAGGTGTAAATTCAACGGTGCAGAGCGAAAGCTGTGATGGCCGCACCCTGCACTTCTAAGCTTTCGAGAGCTTCCTGGAAGACATCCGCACACAAAAGTTGCCAGCTCACGAGCGTGCCGCTCTCAGCAAGCTGTTACTAAAAGCTGAACATTCAGCAGCATTAGCTCGGAGCGCGCGAGACGCACTTTGCTTGAGGAATGAACGTCGTGGAGTTCTTAGTGGATGAAGGCACCATCGGTGAGCCATGGCCTTACATGTCTGCATTGTAGCATTATAGCTGCAGGACAGGAACATTCACGATAGGAATCATAAGGTGGTCCTTGGAGGGACTGCCCAGCGATGAGCTGTTCAGCCCTTATGCTTTTCGTGAGATGCTTGAACACATTCAATCGCTTCAGCAAATTATGACGGGGGACTGCGAATGACTTGATTACTTAGGCCGTGCTCTAACATCAACTTGGCTTGGCTTGGAGTAAAGAAATACGATGAACTGAAGGTCCAATGTTCCACTTAGGTGTAAAGAAAAACCGGAGAAAAAACAGTTGTCAGGAGGGAAGTTGGCAATCCACTTGCGTTCCGGTCCATGACACCCTCAACCGCCCGGTTGCCTTCCACACGAACAGCACCACCTTCGACACCGGGATGGAAAGTCAAAGTCCTGCTGGCGCAATCTAGCAAATACAAATGTCATCCAGCATGTTTCTAAAGGTACATCAAGCTTTAACTTTAGCAAACGCAACACTGAATATCATAGATACTGGTCAATGGATCAAATGTTGGCAACCAAGATCATTGTTGGAAGTGCCAACCTTCGCCTTTGGCCAGGGCTAGGCGCATTTAGGTTCATTGGGCTTCACAGGGACCTTGTTAGCTCAGGTCCATTCAGAATGCCATCATGGCAAGCGACCCAATACATGAATCATGAACATCGTGCGACTCAAGCCCTTGTGCCCATTTCTGCTACAGGTGACCCGGTCATCACGGTATCCGCTGATGATTGATCCACAAGGGCAGGCATTGGTACGGGCCCAATCCTGCAGGGAGCAAGTTGTTGAATGAGTTGACAGGTGCCGCATCAGCTGGTAATCTTGTAAGGCATGGATCAAAAACAAGGAGCGCAAACGCATAGCACTCGAGCCGACCATGTGCGCCAGCGCCTCATCTTGTGAGGCTCCAGGATGCTTCAGGAAGCTTGGGTTCAAGCCGAAACGAGAAAGGAGGGATGGTTCTCGCACGATTGGCATGCACCGACAGCAAGGTCACTACCTTGGGCAACAGGTCCTTGAAGGACGGACATGTGCCCACAGCCGCTGCTGCGGCTGCTCGAAATTTATTTCTCAGAAGAGCTAGGATGTTGACAGCAATGGAAGTAGCCCAGCGCTTTCAGCAGCAGTCGAAAGTTCCTCTTGCAACATGGGTCTGCTGGTGGGCAGGACCAGCTGGAGTGTACGATCAGCCACGGATTGCAGGGCGCACAGCGGCATCATCATCATCATCACCATCATCATCAGCACCATCATCATCATCATCATCATCATCATTGGGCAGTGTCAGACAAGTCCCAGGATGCATAATACATTCCAGCTTTTCGTAGCAAACAGGTGCCTCGTTATCGAGAACGTCGAGAATGAAATGGTGGCTCAGTTGCAGCCCTCATTGGCGTTCATCGACAGTGCAGGTAAAAGGGTTTCCTGCGTGCTGTGGGCCAGGATCCACTCTTGGACCCTGTCTTGGAGAAGGCGGTCGTTTTCAAGGCATGGTGCACACGTAGTGAACAGGATTGCCGCGTTTTGCGTACTACTGGGTGGCTTCCTCACACCTTGACGTCTGGCACCTATGTACAGGCTCAGGCCAAGAAGTGGATCATCCGAATTGGTGTACGCAACTTACATATATTGTTGTTCATTTTCCATCGGTTTTAAGCTTTGTTTTGAGGATGCCAACGTGGATTACGACGAGCGGTTTTGCTTGTACATGACTTCCAGGCAGCATTTTTTCTCAGCGGCCATGCCCCGTGCAAGTTTAGTATACAGGCTGCCGAACCCGCACTTCAGTCCAGAGTTGTCTGCCAAAACTACGGTTTTCTCCCCAGCAACACATGGCGAAGCCACAGTGATTTGCCACAGCGAATTTCTTACTGGCTGACCTGGCCGCGCTGGTCAAGGTAATCGACTTTACAGTCACCTTGCGAGGTGGGCACTTGTCAAGTTTAAGTTTAGCTGTGCCAGGCAGCTAACATGATGCTTGACGATGGTACAAAATCATATGTCAACATTTCAGGCTTGGAGCAGCAGCTGCCATGGCCATAGCACATGTAACACCAAGCTTGTCTGAGACTGAAATTCGACTGAGGCTAGGCCGCGTCTTGAACATGGAGCAGCGAACGCTGGAGGAGATGCTGGCAGGGTTGAAGGACTCAGCTGCCATCCCTCAGACGTGCACATGGGCCCGGCATGACGCAGCTGTGGAGAGCCCTTTTTTTTGACATCCTATGGACCAGGGTGTTTTCTACCACGCCTGAGGAGGAAACCACAAAGGGCACGAAGGAGCTCCAGACGTGAGGCTCTCAGACTCTCACAACACCACTTAACACATTCTGTTTATATTTTGTTTGCCTCGGTGCTTTGTTATGGCATTGGCTTTGCTGAGGCTTGGCAAGCAATTGCTCGATCTTGGCTCAGCTTTGGCTTCAAGAAGCAAAGCACAGGCATCACAGGCTGTTACTGATACTGTCACAACGATCTGCCTAAGGAAAGGCTTTCCAACGCAAAGGGCAATCTGCTGGACAGCGCCCTGCAGCATCTCCATATGCACCTGTATCAATTGCGGTGCTGCGCTTCCCAGCAAGCGAGAGCTGTGCGATCTCTGCCTTTCAGTTCTGCCTTTGACGAAACAGGCTGGTCAGCATCCACGCCCGCAGAAACAAGATTTCACGACTTCGAACAAATTGCAGCCATAAAGAAGACAGAGAGTTCTAGCTCAGGCACACTAGAAGAGACTAAACTCACTAAAGTTATGAGACACCATGTTTGAGACAGCAGCTGCAATCCTCGCCGAACTTGTTGCCTTGAAGAGGCAATTCAGATCACGGGAGTCGATACAGCATGATTCTGCACCAGAAGCAGCCTGAACAAAGTTGGGATTCAACCACCCACGGGTGGCAGAATTTCTAGCTCAGCCCACCCTGGGTGGCTGAATCCGCGTGCTGTGGGCGTGCCAGGATGGGTGCCTGAGTTCAATCATAGTCATCCGCTTTTTCACGTGCGGTCTTCCTCGTATCCGCCAAGCTTTTTTTTGGTGGAAGTCCACAACGAGGACAAATGGCACTCTCGGCCATGTCGCCAAACGAGAAGTTGGCATGCACTCGGCGCATTTTGAGGGTTTCGCGGTGGCATCCTCAGTGACGCGTCAAATCCTCAAGATTTCATGATGAAATCTAGCCTACTTTCCTCAATATTTTGGAAAAATCCTCTAAAAGGCATCCCAAATCCTTCGCAACTTTCTAATTAGCATTTGATTTGTTAATATTTCCTAAAACTGATGTAGAATCCTTCAAACTGATCACTACTCCAGATCGCACTATGCGCATGCCACTACTTGAAGATGATGTTGCGCTGACTTGCGGCGACGTGTCAGTGATATTCTCAGGAAAACCTGCTCCATGCAAGGGTTTGGAACAGTCTTTTGTGGGCTTGTTTGTACGGGGGCGTCGCTGTAACGGCAATATCTCGCGGGCCGATTGATGCACATATCACGCGTTGGAAAAGAGCTTGGCAAGCCACCGCAGGTTTATAAAGCTAAGCTGCAGGGTCCTGGTGGCTGAAGTCCTGTTGTGAGCCACTGGCGTACGAATATAGCAGCTAGTGACGCGCGATTGATTCGGCCTTTCAGCAACGTAGAAGACTCAATTTCAGACCCTGCGCCTGTGTCACAGTTCCAGATTCAAAACTGAATGCAGAATTCTGCAGGAGCCGGTTTGGGGATGGCAGAAGCCTGCAGAGCTTCACTGAAGCTGCTTTGGGTGTCTGCTGTGCTTGCTGTGACTGCTGCGGTCTGCTCTAAGTGATTTAGTGGCTGTCAACTTTGCGACAGCACTGGCCACTGCAAGGCGCAAGTGCATAGTGGAAGCGGAACATCGTGTTTCCCACACTTCCGTTTTACGCAAGGTGCCATTGAAACTGTGAAAGACTAGGGCCGAAAGAAACGCATTTCAAAGACTCCAACAAGGAGCCTAATGTATAGTAGCGGGAGCCCATGTGCACCCTCCGATCAAGAAGAAGCAATCAGGCTCACGCAAGTTTACACGGAGTGGGCATCAAACAAAGATAAGTTTTCATCAGCAAATAGATTGAGGTCGCGGCATGG